ATACATAATGCACATACATTTTATAGCTCGCTTACTTACTTTTTGTATTTTATTTGCTCTACTCTTTGCAGCTTCGATGTGCGTGGTCGATCTTTCGAAAAGGCGCTTTACTGGTCGGATACCAATTCATTTGGTCCACGTGCTTATTTTGTGACCGGACAGCAGCCGGCGAAATTATCTGTGGAAAATATACAGCTGGATGATGAGGGCGTAAGTAGAATCCATTACACATAAAGTATGCTTACCATGCTCGTTCCCCCCAAGTAAAGAGAGTATATTCGGTTTGTCCGCTTGCAATACTAAATATATCTGAATATATTCTCTGCTGTCTTGAGAGACTTTCATGATTCCTGGAGCTGGACTCTTGGCATTCTCTTGGGAGCGAGTATGCTGCAGTCGGTTACACACGACTTGCATTTCTTTGGCATTCGGCTCTAATGCAACACTTGATGTTGCTTTTGACTTTCGTCAACAGGTTTATCGCTGTCGCGTGGACTTTCAGAACTCGCCAACGCGCAATCATAGAATTAATTTAACGGTTATTGGTAAGCTAGCAGCAGAGCAGTGACTGCAATATATTGCGAAGGTATTAAAGAGCAACGTGCGTACATTTTCCACAGTTCCTCCGCATCAAATACTCGTGTACGATGCCTCGGGCCGAGATGTGGCTGGCGCTGTGGGTCCATTGCTTGAGGGCGATAATATTGTGTTGACATGTGAAGTGCGTGGCGGTAAGTAAATCATGATAAACGACACAGACGCGGCACACACACACACACACGCACACACACGTAATGTGCGGCGCACACATGCACGGGAAGCTACTTAAATGTGGCACTCAGACAAAAGGCTATCAGGCAAGGATGACAAGCAATGCCACACGCAACATTGGCCTGCGTTGGCCGGCCGTGAGTCTATTTAAAGAATTAAAGATGTGGCACAGCTGATAGGCGCGCACACGCTGGCCCTGGGCCCAGAGCCGGCTCCGAGAGCAGACCCCGTCGAGGCATGGCCTAAGTCATCGTAAATAATAAAAATAAATGTATGTCAGTGTCTGCGGTGACAGTGGCGACGAGGTCGAACCAGCCAGCTAGACAGCCAGCTGGCCAGAACCTTAACGTCTGCGAGGCCAGCAAATGCTGCTGCTGCTGCTGCTATGGCGGCTGCTGCTGCGGCTGTCATTGCCACTTTTCTTTGAAAAATGCAACAATTTTCAGCGTCTGGCTTTTGTCGCAGCGTATGACCTGTAGGCATATGCGGCATCGTAAATCTTTAAAAAGGTCCCCAAGGTGAAGCAGCGGTTCGTCCAACTTTTCATCTACTTTTCTCTTCTATTTTTCTTCTTTTTTTTTCTACGTACACTGCTTGGAGAGCAAGTGTGAAAAATTTGTACAAGTTGCACGCTTCGCTAAAGCTGCTCCAAGCTCCACTCGGGCGGGCTCCAGTTGAACGTTTGCCGCTTGGCTGGCTGCCCCTGACACGACCATTATAAATCATTAACTTTGTGACAACAATATTTTCGGGCGGACCAGACGAAATGCAGACTGAAATTTTACAGTTGCCCCCGCGGGAGCAGAGGCAGGAGAGGTGTTGGCTTAAAGAACAAATACTCCCATTTGGACTTGATACTCAAGCAAAGCTAATGAAGATGCTATACGGAGCACTGCAATTTAATCAATTTGCTATTAAATCAACTGACATTGCGCATACGCCCCATGCGGCAGCTGGTACCGAGCGATTGGATGTGCTTTAATGATTTTCGTTAGCTATACACAGAGAGAGAAACAACTTGAACTACACAAGAGACAACAGTATATCATCGTTAAAATAATAGTTCGATGTGATTATTCAATTTGATCAGATATATTTTCACTAGGATTTCAGCTTTGCAGATGACAATTTCGATGCAATCAAGACACAAATTTGATGCCGTCAATCAATTTGATAGATTCTGACGCAGTTGCAGCATTTGAGCTGTGTGGCTTTTCTCTCAGTGTAGCCGCAGCAGTGCCTTTGCAATCCTTGCTTTGACTACTCAAATAGTTGGCTACGGCTTTGTGCAGCTGAATGTAGCACGCAGCCAGCTCCATCGCCGGGCTCTGCTCCTTTGCTGCTGTTTACGTGCGGCACTCTGCATGCAAAGGATTTCAGCTTCAGCTTCAGCTCTGGCATTTGCTACCGTGCGGTTTGTTTTGGTTTTGGCAATGCGTCACGTACTCAAACGCGCCAGCTGCTTTGATTAGCCGCAGCATAGGTGGGCGGAGGCGTCGGGTGGGGCGAGCTAAGCAGCTGGCAAGGACTCTCCGACAACTCTGACGACATTTACTATTTTGACACCTGCTGGGCGACGCCGTGTCGCCATGACGCCAGCTAGCAATACAACTGTGATTTGTATGCAACATTTTCCCGTTGCCGTTGCCAGCCAGACGCAGCTGGCAGCCAGCAAATGCATATTTCATTCTGCACCTGCCACCGCTGAGCGCTTACCCAAATTAACTAATATTTGCTGCCAGGCGCCACATGCTGCCAGCGAGCGGGGAGCGCAGAGTGGAGCAGAGAGAGAGAGAGGGAGAGAATGGGAGCATAAGCGCATGCAAATCCTGATGCGGTTTTTATGGCTGGCGCACACTAATCATAGCCCAGCTGGGCGCGCCATAAACGCCAAATGCCAAATTGCTTTATCAACTTTATTAACTTCGACTAATAGCAATTAATACCAGCAATAAAAAGCTAATCTAAGCGCACACATAAAAACCCGATCTCTATACAGTAGACCCAAACAAATTTTATGACCGGGCGGCTATGCATAATTTTTGGTGGTGGTGCGTCCAGTTAAACCACCATGCAGAGCCACCATACAGCAGCCAACCAATTGTCGACAACCTTAAGTATGGCTTAGCAACGCGCTGTCTTCATTACTGATGGGATTACCGGGGTGGGCAGGGGGAGCTGCCCACATGCATGCGAGTGGGAGCGAGAGAGCGAGGGTCTAATGCGAGCAGCTAAATGCCGCAAGGCAACTGTTATTTGTCTATTATCCCTGCATACTTTTCGTGCCACATTCATGGCCATTGTGTGTCTGTGTGTGTGTGTGTGTGTCCTGTCTTGACTTGGCTTATTGTCGCCAATGTCCTCGCTGCGTATCCTTTGCAATCAGCAAACATTTGGGCACCAAATTCCCCACACACACTCACACTCGCACACACTCACACACATATTCACTCAACTATCAGCTACTTGCTGCTTGCCACTTGCTACTTGTGTTCCCCTCCCCTTCGACACGAGTCCTTCTCGTCTGCTTGTTGCTATTGTTGCTCATTTCCGCCACATTCACTTGGCTGACTTAATGGCCAAGCTGCAGTCAGTGGGAAGGAGCTGCTTCCTAAGCTCCCCCACTCCTGCTAACGTCTCGAGGCACTTAAACGGATTAAAAATATTTTGTGCATTTGATATGTGAGCCGGCGGATGAAATGCTTTTACTGAAGCGCTCCAGACATCGAGAGCAGCGCGCAAAAGAAATGTTGGAGCATTTCGATTACTTTCGCCAATGAAGAAGCGAGTGAAATTAAAGGCAACAGATATTTGGCTAGATAATAACATAAAAGCTGAGTGCAAACATAGCCACGGCGCGTATATACTAATTATATCCATAAAACTTATATACACTACTAACTATCTCGCTCAATATCCATCAGCAATTAATAGACTTAGCTGGAGAGTGCTTAACTCAAAAAACTATGGTTGAAGTCATTTGAGTTATAGCTCGATAATTGTACGACTAAATCGAAGCAGCATAAGTCTATTTCCCACAAAATATTTGTGTTATTGATCGATCCAAGTTGATGTGGACATGATTATAATTGCTCGATTATATCAAAGTAAGATAGATGCAGCTAGTTTGATATGTTAGTGGTTAAATGTAATATATCATAAGTGCTAAGGATAACATAACTTAATGGAATAAGGTGTCATTAAAGATGTTAACTGCAAAATCAGTTATATGTAATAGATATATTAAGGAAATACATAGTAATAGAGGCTTTTACACACTTAATTAGACTACCAGCAATATATGGGTAAATAGCAACTATCCTTAATATATATTTGAGACTTCAAACACTTCCAAAGTCAACTCGTATATCCTTCAGATTGAATGAATCTCCAAATATGAGATGTTTATATACCTTTCGAGAACTTCTCAAACTAAAACGATGTTCATTTGAGATTCTGGAACAACCAGATAATTTATTTTCATTTTATTAGGGTTTAGGTATTTGATAGAGCTTCTCTTTGTTTAAAAGCTTATAAACAGAAAATTATATTTCATTAGGAAAACATGCCCCACAATTTATAATTTAAATATATAAAGACTCCTCTCATTTTAGATCAGAGTTTCAAGTCCAAATGTCTTCAGTATTAAATTCAATTAACTCCACTTTCTTCTAGGGTATTTAAGCAACAGCAATAGCAAATACTAGACGATTTGCTTTTCTTCGGCTTGCTTTCACCTACATAATTATTGTAATTAGATAAAGCTAAAAATATAATAATGATAGCACGAAGCATATAGACGCAGCAGAATATATTAATTAAAAATCTATTTCAGCATATCTAATAATAATAATCAATTAGGAATGATAAAATCTATTTTTAATTAATTTATAAGCGCTGCTGTTGGCTTCCTTTCGAGCAAGTATAAGTAACAAATATTAAATAACAAAAAACTAATATAGGAGTGTCAGCTGTCAGTTGATATCTTAATAATATGTGTATAAAATCTGAATACACTAAATAGATATGCTTTAAACATATTCAAGCGCTCTATGTGAATTGTTAATGATAAGGTTTTAATGTATGCACCGGGTGTTCTTTTTTTTTTTGTGCCCACCAAATTCGAATGGCAATTCGCCCAGGCAGTTTTTCCTTTTTGCTTATTTAACATTCAGGATTTGGCGGTTGTCTATCCAAAGTGGGGTCAGCGCTCGTGCAGCTGCCAGGAGAGATGGGCACCACAACTTTGCTAGTTAAGCTGGCTAAGCCTTTTTTAAAAGCCTTGGGTACACACTGCTAAATGGGCATTATCATTAAAATGTGAAAAGTTCTTTACGCTCATAAATTTTCCAAATGCAGCTCCAACTCCAGCTCCAGCTGCCCAATAAGTTAGTTGTGAGTTAATAATGCATGAGGCCAAAGTTTGTGCGCAGTAAACAAATCAAAAATAGAAGAAATAAAATCAGATATTTGCATTAAATATTTGTTGACCGCATGACAAATGCCTCTAGAGTCGGCTCTCTGCATAATTTGCATAATTTTGTACTCAATTCGTATCCGTAGGACGGCCGGAGCCCACTGTCACATGGCTGAATGGCTCGAGAGCTCTGGAGGCGGGCAGCGGCATATCGATGGGACGTCATGTAACTGTTAACCGACTCGAAGTGCCGCAAATAACGCGCTCGGCACTCAACAACACCTATCGCTGTCAGGCGTCCAACACGAAGCTGGTGGCACCTGTGGAGCGCAGCATACGCATTGAGATGTTATGTAAGTAATTCGATATACATACATATATGCAAATATATATATTTTGATGCACAATTTATACCCACAGTGAAGCCCACATCGGTGAATTTGACGAACAAGCTGAAGGTGTTCTCATCGAGCACACAATATAATCTGACATGCATTGTGGCCGGCTCGGTGCCAGACACCGAAATCAGATGGACACAAAATAATCGACCCTTCAAGCGTGGCACGGTAAGCCGATTGCAGCCAGATCCAGCAGAAGTCCAACTGTCATATCTATGACTTGCCATTGACATTTTGATATCGTGCACTTGTAGTTGTGAGCATTTTTCTAATCGATTTCACACTCTCCCTCTCTCCCTCTCTCTCTCTATCGTTTATATAGCTGTCAACCAGCCAGGGCAATGGACGCGTCCTATCCACTTTGTCATTTTATCCACAGCCCGAAGACGATGGCACTATGCTCAAATGTGAGGGCTCAAATCCTCGACTACAAAACTCGGCCATCGAGGACTCGCTCATGCTGAATGTCATGTGTAAGTAGTATATGTATAGCTATATATGTATATATGTATATATTTATTTGTATCGTCTATGAGCTGGGGGAAGCCCCATTTTAATTTCCATAAATATAGCTGATGCCACACACAAATCAAAGCTGCCGTCGCAAATAAGTCTAAATTATGCAGCATTATTTGCCCAGTTGCTGCTCGTATGTCAATATTTGCATTCTCGACTCTTAGCGAGGCCATAAAATGTCAGACAGACACTTCAACCCCTGCCCCCAGCAAACAGAACGCCATAAATTCTACTTTATATGATTATCAATTTCTACAATTCAAAGAAAGAAATAAAACAACACGCCCCATTCCAAACGCCTAAAAGTTTCAGCAAAAGGTCAGATTGGTTTCTTTTTCTGTTATTTTCCCTTTTTCGTTTTTTGCAGTTTGTGTGTAGCCATAAAACTGAAATGAAAGAAAATTTGTCCCGCACCAAAGCTGTCGAGTTTCGGCCTCTAGTTTGCCGGCATTCGCCATTTGTTGTCACTTAGATTCGCTTTTCTCGTTATTTGCGAGCGGGACGAGGATAATCATAAATTTATTGAATTTTAAAGTCGGCCACACGAAGCTCATATATGCAAAGCCAGCTTATAAATAATACAAAAAAAATAGAACAGTGAATGCTGCTTTTAAGCAACAGCGAGCTGAGACAACGGACTGCAAAGGATTGAAGAGCTATTTCAGCCCACGCTCTTCATCCAGTTGAAGCAGGGTGCATAAGCGT